GTCACTGCAGCATGCACACGCAGACGCACTTTGTCTCTCTCAAACGCACGCACTTGGCTGTATCGGTGATGTTAGGCCGCAAGCCTGGTGACGGTGATGAAGAAGAGGAGGAGGACGCGGAGGCAGACGAGGCGGCGCCCTCACTGCTGCTCGTTCGAGATAGCATGGCGGTGGTGGGAACGATGTGGGTGTGGCCTCCTGGTGTTTGTGAGCTTCTGCTTGCTTCCTTCCTTCTTCTTTTGGTGAAATCGAGGCAGTTGATTTGATGTGAATGTGAAGACCATGTTGTTAAGACTGCACGCGTGATTTGCGTGGTGCACAATGAACGGAAGAGAGCACCCGAAGAAGCATCATCAAAGAGGTAGAGGCGGCCTCGTCGGAGGGCAGCAGTTGTGGTGGTGGTGGCAAAGTGCTGTTGTGTGCCAGCGCTGTGGGATTTGACAGGATCTCTCTGGTCACCGATGTGCAAGGCCGCGGTGCAGTCGTCGTCCACGCGCGACACGTAGACGCCGGGCTGGTCGCCGATATCGAGGTTTGTTGCTCCGACAAGCCCCACCCCCAATGTGCGGTGATTGTCCTTGCCGTCTTCACCACCAGAGTCGTCCCCCAAATCGACCAGCACCTCGCGGGTCTTGGCCATGTCTCCCAGCGACATTGTGTGTGTGTGTGTGTGTGTGTGTGTGTGTGTGATGTGTGTGTGTGTGTGTGTGTGTGTGCGGTGTGTGTGTGTGTGCGGTGTGTGTGTGTGAGGTGTGTGTGTGATGTGTGTGCGTGTGTGTGTGATGTGTGTGTGTGTGTGTGAAGTGTGTGTGTGTGTGCTTTTGAGAAGTAAGCGCTTGCGTGCTTGCGTGCTGGCGTGCTGCAGGCGTGGATAATCCAAGAAGACAGCGTTAGACTCTCTTCTTCTCTTGGTGTGCTGTGGTGTGCTGTGGTGTGTTGTTCACAGCAGCAGTCAGTAGGTCAGTGGGGGTTGACAAGAGGGCCAACGGTGAACAACAACAAGCACAAAAAAAAACCCGCAAGCAAGAAGCAAGCGAGCAAGAAGCAAGAAGCGAAGAAGCGACGAAGCGAAGAAGAGGCAGTGGAAGAGTGAAGGAGAGAAATGCAGCGTTCCTTCTTTGAACAACGAGTACGAGTCGTAGTGGTGGTTCGGATGGAGATATGAAGGTGAGACTCGGCTGACAGATGCCTAGATGCAGCAGAGAGTGCGCTACAAGGCTACACGTTGGGCATAGCCCTCCATGCCGGGCGAAAACAAAAAAAAATATACGCCCGCCGCGTCTGTGCGTTCATTGTTCACTCTCACTGCACACTGTGTGAAAGAATGGGTGGTAGGGGTGGTCAGAATGGAGGTATGAATGTGAAACTTGGCTGACAGATGCAGCAGAGAGTGCGCTACAAGGGGACACGTTGGGCATAGCCATGCCGGGCGAAAAAAAAAGATATACGCCCGCCGGGAATCGAAGAGACAAGGAGAACTGTGAGTTCGTTGTTCACTGCACACTGTGTGAAAGAACGGGTGGTAGGGGTGGTCAGAATGGAGGTATGAATGTGAAACTTGGCTGACAGATGCAGCAGAGAGTGCGCTACAAGGGGACACGTTAGAGGAGAAGGGAGGCTGAAGAGAGGAATGCAGTGCAGGAGTGGCAGAAGGAACGAAAGAAGAACAAACGACCACCAACGTTGTATGTATGTGACAGGCGGACGCGGAAGCTTGAAACCTGAGTGCTGAATTACCCAACACCATGAAGGCAAGGGAACGAACACGCAAGCATGGCCACTCGTTCGCTCATGCACTCAACTGCCAATATCCTTCAGCGTCCGGTCCTTCGAGGACTCGGTGCACGTTGTACTGCGGTGGGAAAATGGGATTGCGCAAGTTGACGTGCGGAGCAAAGATGGGATACAAAGCACCAACAGCGATTGTCCCACGAAACAACTGGGAAAAGGGGAAGGCCTGCCATCGTAATCATGCAATACGCAGCGAACAAGGGATTGGTGAGATGAGCGTTGTTCGCCACGGACTCACGAGTGGTGGTGGAAGCATGGCGGCGTGCAGAAGAGTTGGGCAAAAGGAGTACCTTGACTTCGCCGGTGTCAAGCAACACAGTTGCGCGTGCGCGCGTGAACCAGACAACAGTTCCTGTGTCTCCGTCCTGGGTGCGAACTCGGCGCTGTATCCGACGTAAGGCTACCAACTCAATACGTCGATTTTCCCGCTCTTCTTGTTTGTGCCGCTTTGATCGTTCGCGAGCCTCCTGTCTCTCACGCTTCGCGCGTGCTCGTGCACATCGCTTCCGCAGTTGCTGCTCCCTCTTCTCTTGCAACTCACGCTGGCGTTGTTCACGCTGTTCCTTCTTCTCCTGGCGTTCGCGTTCGCGCTGCTCCTTCTTCTCCTGGCGTTCGCGTTCGCGCTGCTCCTTCTTCTCCTGTCGTTTGCGTTCGCGCTGTTCCCTTTTCTCTTGCAACTCACGCTGGCGTTCGCGTTCGCGCTGCTCCTTCTTCTCCTGTCGTTCGCGTTCGCGCTGCTCCCTCTTCTCTTGCAACTCACGCTGGCGTTCGCGTTCGCGCTGCTCCTTCTTCTCCTGTCGTTCGCGTTCGCGCTGTTCCCTCTTCTCCTGTCGTTCGCGTTCGCGCTGCTCCTTCTTCTCCTGTCGTTCGCGTTCGCGCTGCTCCTTCTTCTCCTGTCGTTCGCGTTCGCGCTGCTCCCTCTTCTCTTGCAACTCACGCTGGCGTTCGCGTTCGCGCTGCTCCTTCTTCTCCTGTCGTTCGCGTTCGCGCTGCTCCTTCTTCGCCTGTCGTTCGCGTTCGCGCTGCTCCCTCTTCTCTTGCAACTCACGCTGGCGTTGTTCACGCTGCTCCTTCTTCTCCTGTCGTTCGCGTTCGCGCTGTTCCCTCTTCTCTTGCAACTCACGCTGGCGTTGTTCACGCTGTTCCTTCTTCTCTTGCAGCTCACGTTCCCGCTGTTCCCGCTGCTCCGGTGTCTCTTGCTCGAGGCGTTTCTGCTCACGTTCCCTCCTTCGTGCACCGGCGGCAAGGCCGCCTTTTCTGCCGCTAGTAACGTGGTGCTGATGAAGTGCTTCCTCCCCGCCCTTTCGTCTGAAGTTTTCCTTCACCTTCATCGCCCCCATCCGACCAATACGACGATGCACTTCAGTCGCTGCTTCTTGTCCGATGCGCTCCCTCCAAGCACGGTATCCGTCTGCCATCTTTTTCCGCTGACGTTTCAGCTCCTCTGGCGTTAACTGCAACATCCAAGATTGCACTGTTCGACACGAGGTACACGTAAAGGAGTTCTGGTTTGAGACGACGGTTGGCCACATAAGCAAGGGAGCAGAGGGTCTCCTGCAAGAACAGGGGGACAACCAGGGTAGCCAGCGAATGCAGTGTACCTTTGCTCCTATCGACCTTGAAAAACGATGATGCGTCCCCAAACGAGCAGGAGTACCCGTTCGTCTGGTGGCCCAGCGGGGCTGAACCATGAAACATGAGCAGGGTTGTCAACGCCTCGCAGACGACGCCGATGCGTCGGCACAGACAAGTGTCACTAAACCAGCGCAGGGAGGTCAGGAAATCAGAAGAATGAATTGATGAATAACCACAGGTAACAGTTCCACCGCGCACTGCATCACACTGCTACGCAACTGACATGTGTGGGGCAGCACATGCATCCGGCAGCTTGAAGAGTGGGTAGAGGACACCGCTCGCTGTCATGCGCCTGCGTAAGCGAAAAGCATGATGTGGATGATGACAGCAAGGAAGGATCAGTGCTCTACGTTGCGTACTCCACGCACACTTCAAATGCACACACACGCACACACACACACACACACACACACGCACACACACGCACACACACGCACACGCACACACACACGCACACGCACACGCACACATACACACGCACACACACACAAGCAACAAACGAGGACACACACACACACACACACACACACAAACAAGCACATATATACACATACACACGTACACACATACACACGCGCGGGCACACACACACACACACACATACAAGCAACAAACGAGGACACACACCGATATTCCCCGTGTCTGCGATATGGCTGTGCAGTTAAGCCAATCTTCACGGCTTGGTCCTGCTTTCTAATTGCGGCGTAGATCCACTGTCCATGGGGCAGGTGTCTGATTGTGGCCTCATCTTTGATGGCAAACCTCAATAAGAAGCGCTTCTTGTGCGCTGAAGACAAAGCGCCAATCTGGCCTTTGATTGCGCGCACTGCCAGTTCTCTGAAGGGTGGGACATTTCGGAGCAGCGCGATGATCGCCATGGGTATACTCTCCAGTCTGTGAAGGACCTGTGTGGTGACAACGTAGTGTTGCCAGCATGTGAGTGCTACAACAGGTTTGAAACCAGGCCAATGCAGTACACACGCACACTCACACACGCACACCCACACACGCACACGCACACCCACACACGCACACGCACACGCACACGCACACGCACACGCACACGCACACGCACGCACACACACACACACACACACACACACACATACAAGGCTGAACAGCCGTGACGGACCCGATGAAGAGTGTGGTCGGTGTTCAGTAATGGGTGGTTGAGGACGTGGTTGACCACGAGCCTTTCATGGCTGGTGGCGGACACGTTGTTTGGCAACCGAGTTGCAAGCACGTCCAGGGGTTCAATTGAAAACCGGATCTGCCTGGAAAGGTCGATCAAGTGGCTCGGCGAAACCCACTGTCTTTCGCCTTCTGGGTGTTGCGCTTGGTGAAAGCAGCGGCTGGCAGAAATCGTTTCCGTCCTCCTCCTCCTCCTCGTCCTAGCTCGGTTCTCCGAAAGAGGAGTTGAAAGCACGACTATCAAAACCACTTATATGTGGGTATTTGTCCATCTGGTTCACAGAACATAGCGTCATCCTGTAAGTGAGGCGATATAACGCTTGTTGAGCGCAAGGATGACCCAGACGGGGTTTTGACCCAGGGTGTACAGCTAGTCTTGGGTAGCCTAGGCGAGGAGCACCGTGGTGACGCTCTTAGAGTCGTTACTATCCGTTTCGTTCACTAAGCGGTTCGGTTCGGACGGCATGAGCCTACGGTCGACCCGACACAACTCGTAAAGGAAAGCATGAGGGTAGTCATCGTACTCCTCCTCCCCACTCCTCATCAGGGTAGTCATCGTACTCCTCCTCCCCATCCCATCAGGGTAGTCATTGTACTCCTCCTCCTCATCCTCATCATCGTAGTCATGGTACTCCTCCTCCTCCTCATCCTCATCAGGGTAGTCATCGTACTCCTCCTCCTCCTCCTCCTCATCCTCATCAGGGTAGTCATCGTACTCCTCCTCCCCATCCTCATCAGGGTAGTCCTCCTCCTCCTCCTCCTCATCCTCATCAGGGTAGTCATCGTACTCCTCCTCCTCATCCTCATCATCGTACTGACCATCGCACTCATTCTCCTCCTCCTCCTCCTCCTCTTCCTCCTCGACGTTATCATCACCATCTTCATCGTGGTTGTCGTCGTCATTTTGTCCGACGTGAATCTGAGTCTGAGTCTCTGTGCGTTGGCCCTGCAGCATGTTCAGCACCCGCTGTCGCATGGAGGCGTCGTCGCTGTTGGCCTTGTTGCCAAAACCATTGGCTTCACCATCGGCTTGAATCTCACGGAGACCAAGAAGGAGCAGCTGCTGTGACATGCTCCAATCCTTAGAATCCTTGTGCTTTGGCGTACTGGCTTGTGCGGTTGACATCGCTCGGCACTTGAGGGCGTCGACTCAAAGGCTCAAGGTCGGTGTTGTCGTGCAGTTCTGTTGTCAGCACAAACACAATCAAGGAATGGAGCCAGCCCGTCAACTGGTCAAGAGGCTGCACTTCATGGCGAGACGTGCATTTTCGTGGCCCTGCGAGGGTGGTTGCATTCCTAGATTCCTCTCCTGTTGTTGTTGTTGTTGTTGTGCCTGCTCAGTGCAAACCGCTGTGTTGTTGTGGTGACATGACATGATGTGAGATGTGACATGATGAGACACATGAAACACAAAAATTTGTCAGGCTGCGGCGTGAGCAATCAACAGCGCTTGTGAAATTCATAAAGATTGACTTTCTCAATTTCTTAAGCGCCTGTGGTCTAATGGCTAGGATTCAACCCTTCCAAGTGCTTGTTGCCAGTAGAAAGGTTGAGGATCGGGTTCGATTCCCGGCGGGCGTATTTCTTTTTTTTTTTGCCCGTACCGTAGTCTTGGAGCGGACTCTCTACTGCATCTGTCAGCCGTTCATACCTCCATCCGAGCCAACATTACCAGGCACACAAACAAAAGAAGAACAAAGAGAAGAAGGAAACGAGCACAGCAAGCAAGTAACACACATCACAAACGAGTGAACGAAACCGCACCCACACCACGCTCACACCACACAGGCCAGCCAAAGAACGAAAGTCATGCAACACGGCTATGAAATCAGGTCAACTAGCGACACAACCCAAAAGAGTCCAGTTACAGTCGAGTCTCGCCATCATCTTCATCGTCCCCACCATCCGCATGATGATCGGGAGAACGCTGGTGAGGGGTGGCCGTCGCATCCACGCTCCGCTGCAGGATGAGCCTTGCTGTTCCTGCCGAGTCATATGGTGATGACGCTGATGCGATCGTCGTCGTTGTCGTCGTCGTTGTTGCGGCACTCGATCCTGGCTCGGGCAATTTCACTGGCGCTTGCGGCGGCGGGCACTGCTGATTCAGCACGCCAGACGCCTGCAGTGACTCGCGCTGCACCACAGGTGGTGCGTGGTGAGTGAGTGAGTGAGTGAGTGAGTGAGTGAGTGAGTGAGTGAGTGAGTGAGTGAGTGAGTGAGTGAGTGAGTGAGTGAGTGAGTGAGTGAGTGAGTGAGTGAGTGAGTGAGTGAGGATCAAGGTCGTGCGCGAGAGCAGCAGTTGCGCCCATCTACAGTTACGAGCGAGAATCAAGCGAAAACAACCTGGAGCCACCGGAAACCCACCACTTGTGTGAGATGGCGAAGAACGATGTCAAAGGATGGACGGGCGTGTGGATCCACCTTCCAGCACTCAATCACGGCTTGATATCTGCCCAGGCGCAAGAGACAGCGAACCGAAAACCGTGCATTGAGTGTAAGCGTTTAGCGTGTGAAGTGTGCACGTGCGCGCGCGTTAATGCCTGCATGCGATGAACGTGGTAGCAGGGAGCTTGTTTGCAAACGCATGACATGGCTCATACAGGGGCATGGGGCACGCTGGCGGCAGCGGCATGTGCGTCGTCATTGTGTGATGCGCACGCGACACCTCCTGGGTCCGCAATTTGGGATATGGTGTCTGTGAAAAAAAGCGCGCGCGTGCGAGTGAGTGGGTTGTGTGATTGATTGAGTTGAGTGAGTGAGTATTTGTCAGAGTGCATGTGTGTGTGTGTGTGTGTGTGTGTGTGTGAGTGAGTGAGTCACTGTGTGTGTGTGTGCCCAGCACAAAGAGCCAGGTCAGTTCGAGCGTGGCGCGTTGAGGAAGACACCACAGCATCGAAGCAACCTGTCCGCATGTCAACACCTCCCAAAACGTGACTCCGCAGGACCTGCGTTAAAGGCATCGCGCAACGTGGGAGGATTGCAATCACAGCGAGAAGCCGCAGGAAAGGCAAGACGCGACAACGAGAACACATCCCACAGTGCATGCACGCGAACAAGCGCAAGTCCACAGCCACGCATGTACACACTCTCATTCGATACTCTCCACAAATAAATAAATAAACAAATCAAACAAAATAAGCCGTGAGTGCCGCACCAGACGTCACTCTGTGTTGTCCAGATTTCATCCTCGAGCGTCTCCGGCGCCATCCAGCGGATCGGCAGTGCGCGATCAAAGGACTGAATAAGAAGTGGCGGGAGGGGGTGTAGAGGAGGAGAGCATGAGTACATTTGGATCACGCGCACACGAACACGTAGTGTCATTGCACGCACACACACACGAACACACACGAACACACACGAACACACACGAACACACACATACAAACACACACACACACACACACACACACACACACACACACACACACGAACACACACACACACAAACACAT